CGGGCAATAACAAGAAACAACAACTTAGGCCTGTAATCCAGAGAGGTAGGCAGAGACCATGGACTTCCATTTGGCACAGTTGTGACACACCTATCTCACCTCTTCCTCATTAGTACCTAGTTATGTAAATTATGTGAACCTTTATCATCTCAGCTCCCTTCCTGTGTTATAAAATAAACATAATTTTAATTGCAATAGAGGAAAACTTTATGTTTACATCAAAACAAATTACAAAAAGAACAAGGTATAATAATTATATGGTCACATGTTTTTTTAATTTTTAAATATTATTATAATAGCCCATTTTCCTGAATGTTAATATTTTTGATGACTGTTTTTTTTATTTTACAGAAAATGAGGAAAACAAGTATACTCCCCATCCTAATATAATGGAACTATCTTCATATATGAATGAAACAAGTAAGTCAACATTAATAATTTGTACAGAAATATTTTGACATGTGTGGGTAGTTAAAAATATTCCTAGTGTAGTAAATATTGTGCTTGCTTAATTACATATATTTGGGTGATTTACAGATGTAACAGCTGTTGTAACAATGCCAATGAATCAAAATCCATCAATACCAATGATGGAAGTGACAAATTCTACTGTAAGTGGATTGTTTATTTCTCTTGGTTATATAAAAGCTAAAACCCAACTATCAATCTCAAACCATATCTAAGATTTTTAATTAATTTTTAATCCATTTGCTACAAATTTAACTTGCAATAGCCCCAAAATCTGATGTATGATTTTAAGGTTGATAAGTCTTCAAATTGATTCTTAGGATTGCCCGTTAATGATAGCTAATTGCCATAATATTTATAAAACACAATTTAACAGATGGTATCATACCCGGATGACAACATGCAGGATCCTGCAAAACCAAAAAACTCAGCTGTATCATGGAAAAATGAAAATGATTGGACTAACACTGAAAATATTATTTCGCTGCACAATTTTTCTTGTGTTAATAATGAAAATTCTAAATATGCTAGTGAAGATTCAAAAGCAAGTATTGAAGATATGAATATGAATGATGAAAGTTCTATGTACAAAGAAGAAAGAGATGCAAATTTTAACATGGAGTCATCAAACTCATCGGAAAGTTGTCACTCCATGAAGGATTTGAAGCAAGAAACTGATCCTGCTAATAGCATTGTCTCCAGTTCAACTGTATGTAATCCAACTATTAATTCTACAACGGTTACTCAAAGTGTAAGAACTACTGGGAAAAAATCTAAATCTGGAAAGGACTCAAACAGGTGTGTATATGTACACGCATGTAAATGAGTGATAAATGAAAGTGTGATTTTGATAATTAGTTTCTAAAAGAAGTAAATTAATTATTTACTTTTTTTAACTACAGTGCTAGTGTCTTTTTTGTTAAATATCTTCATTACCTAGTGTGGCTACTAGTACCATTTATATTTTATTAAAAAGTAAAGTTATAAAATATCACAATATTACAGAAGCCGCAGTTCTAACAAGGTGCCGCCGGGCGCTGTGAACTTGGAACGCAGCTACCAGATCTGCCAGGCTGTTATCCAGAACAGCCCTAACCGAGATGCCCTGCGCGGGCAGCTGCGGCCGCCGCCGGCCCTGCTCAGCCGGCAGCCGCGTGCGCCACGTCCTCCTCCACCGCCTGTCATGGTGCGACAGCTTCCGCCCCCTGTCGTACAGCATACTGAGGTGTGTCATGTTCTATAAACATATGTTAATATTATGCGCTGTAATTACATAAATTAGTGTAACAAAATAGTGTGTGTATTTTCTACAAAATTTCAACAGATTAATTTTTTTTTTCCGACTGGGTGGTAGGTTTAAGAAATGACTCAATGGTACCTATGTATCCATTGATGCCCTGTCATATAGGTTGCCAATTAGCAAAATGTTTTTGCCTATTGGAAACAAACGACACTGTTTCAGGTGAATGAAAATCGCTCAAATAACATGGGGCAATATATCCTAGTACAAAGAACCCCTAACGTCATACCTAGAGCGTCCAGTGCGCCGCCGTCAAATCTAAACACAAATGTTGTAAGTGGCCTTATCTTTTACTGCAACTGTTTAAAAAGAATCACAAGTCTGGAAGTTAATGGTTAAATTGCCCCCTAACATAGAATTTTCATACTAAATTTACACTAAGGGATGTAATTTAATAATATGAGTACGACACTTAACAATGTATACTGGTAAGAGAAAATAATTAAAATGCATTTGTTTCAGAATGTCGCGAGATGTCGCAGTGTGGGAGCTGAAGACGCTTGCGTGTGCAACTTGCGAGCCATGATACTATGCAAGAAGTGTGGTGCGTTCTGCCACGATGACTGCATTGGCTCCGCTGAGCTATGCCTCACGTGTCTCATACGCTGACCCGTACACAATAATCGGACTGACTACTATTCTAAACCACTCTACTAAATCTTCTGTATAGTAGAAGACTGCTTAATACTGTAAAGTGTAAACTGTGCGAAGTGTATCAATATTACGTCATATGTGAATGTGAACAGTGTTACAAAAGTAAAAGTATGAATGAACCACAACAATTTTGGAAGAACGGATCACGAAGTAAGAATGGTGGTGCTATCTGTTTCCATGTTATTTGATAAGTACTTCTGTCTTTAATTTTTAAATTATCTGCTCAAATCAGTCTTGGACAATGATTATATATTTTTTTTTTTACTAAAGCTTATTTAAATTGCAACAATGTATATATTAGTATGTAAAGAAAAACTGTCAATCATTTCTATATAAATATAGCACAACACAATGGTTGCTAGTGTAGTAAAGGATATATAACGTATGCATAGTCAACTATAGATTATATATTTACACAGAATAATCATTTTTGTCTTTATAACAATACACAATTTATTCAATTCGCATTTCAAATACATATAAAATTAATAATGTTAATGTTTTACCATATATAAACAACATATTCAGAAATTTATACAAATAACATTAAATATGTTGCACAAGTTGCCTATTTTCATATCCATTATCTGTATGACAGTATCATTTAGTTATAGCGTTGTTTTTTTAGCGTAAGCAGAGTTTGTGTCAGTGTAAAATTTTCCATTATTCATGTTTTAAATTAAGACTACTAGAGTGTTGTTAAGAGTACATAGAAGATTAGCATAAGCTAATTATATCATTATTGCCATTATATTTTTATCACAACAGAATCATTTATAATTTATGAGTAAAATTAAGCTTTCTTTGAATATGCTATAGATGGTATGCTATTGGGAGTCAGGTATTTGTAGTTCGAATTTAACTTGCACTGATTTCCCATCTATTGATATGTTTATAGTTTAGGGTGTGTACAGATATTTATTGACATGAAAGGCTGAAGGATAAAACATCGGACGGATTTGTAACTTTACTGTGGTTTTCATGAGTAATTGAACTCTAGTTTATCACTTGTTATTTTAAGTTTTTATTATGTCGCGTAAACTAATACGACATTAAGGTATAAGACATCATTTTCTATTGGATTTTGCTACTGATTTTTGATATATCACTCACCTTGAATTACACTTTTTTACAGAAATAAAATTAGAATTGTTAAATCTCTTTTTTGATCTCTATATATTAACTTTTCAAATCTTAATTATTTTTCAATTAATCATTTAAATTCATTTTATTATTATGATCCGAAAAAAAATATTTGTAACAAATTTTCCCATTTCAATGTTTAATGAAAGTAATTCAAATCAAGAAAATTGAATTAATTGCATTAACAGGTCTACTAAGAAATTCGACTACCTAAATCTAGAATATGATAAACGCTATGATTTGCGTGCAGTTTTTTTTTGTAATAAAATTATGCAGTCTGTGCTTTTCAGAGTTTTGTTTTTCTTTTATTTAATTATGACAAACATTGACACTCAATTGGTGTATCGGTTGTTAAATAGTTTCTGCATTATTATATAGTTATATGTTGTGGGTTAGATCCCATTTTAAACAAGATGTGTTCGATTCAAACATATTTAACACATCAAAATGGTTGGTTTTCATTTAATTACATAGCTTCCACTGTACAGCCCCGAGTCCAACCATCCAAAATCAGTTTTCAAAAGTGAAGCCAATTATACAGATTGACGTGTATTTTATTGAGATTATATTTATTTGTATCTCGAACCTGGCTTCACTTTTACGCTCTAACTATAACACCTTTATGTTTAGTATTGTATCACAAAATGTTGGAAAAAATCCTATTAAATTATTGTATGGTATAAATAATTGTCAATGTTTGTCTTTAATTGCTCCATGTTTTGTTTTTAAATAAACTTTTTTTTATATCAGGAGCAACTGGACTTAGGTTTATTAATTAGAATATTATTGACAATTTAACGTTATTTATTGGTAATTAGTTATTTTAGACATGTAAACATTTTTTCTGTAATAAATTATGTTCTAAATCAAATGTTGTTTTTTTTATATATTATTTTTCACAACAGTTCTTATTTACTCAGTAAACAAAACCTTTATTGCAAAGAATAATCTAAAAAAATAATGCCTTGTAAAAATGAAAAAAAGTGCTGAAAACAAAAAAAAATATTTTTAACTGCTGTGTGCAAATATGCGTTTGTTAATCTTCGGCAATCTGACGAATCACTTATTTTTGTGTCTGTCGGAAAAGGTTAATTAAAAGCGCCTTTTAATTCGGTTTTAATTTTCTAACCGTGATTGTCTGGACACGGATATTTTTTTAAACAATACCCTAAAACATAAGGGAAATTACATAAATTTTAAGTAAAATCTCTTTAGGCTGTGCGGTTTAATGTCTTGATCTTTTTTCGAATTAAAAAGAAAAAGTCATTGTCTTTGGCTTCTAGAAAATTGTCTTTGGTTATCACGCGATTTACTGTCAAACAACTTTTTTAACCAATTATGAAGTAGAAGGAAAGATATTTTAACCAATAGTGGCCCAGGTCTGGTAAACAAGCTACTAAAACTAACGAATTAATGAATGTCTGCGTCACGGCTCAAAATTATTATGTCTTGTTTCCAAAAAATCTAGAACTTGAAAGATTGATGCAGAACCGGGAGGAAAAGAAACTGTTTTCATTTCAGTACCTGGTTCTAGGTTATACTGAGTGGTGTTGTGATTGTGACAATGGTGTATTAATGAAATAATTCTATGGGCGTGTATGAAGAATATTTTTTGAGATTTATATAATAAAACAACAGTTAAAATGTCGACAGTTCTTTTAGCCGTAGTTGCCGTTATTTTGTGCATTCTTTTCCGAATATTAAACGTTAACAGCCAGCCTTATAAACCCGTCATTTACGGAAGAGACAGGAATTTTATTGAAAATATTTTATTTATTGCGCCCTTTTTGAATGAACCGTAAGTGACAGACGATACTCATGTAATATATTTAGAATTAATGTGTTGTTTATAAATTGTCCTAATAAATTAAAAAGTTTAAAGATAAGCAAACACCCATGCTTGATGAGGTCATTCTTTTCATAATTTTATGTAAAAGTTAATTGATGAGTAACATAACATTACTTTACCTTTCCCTATGGGAAGATTAAAAGTAGTATTTCATAGTATATTTATAACATAATATTTTATATACTCTTTGTTTATAACTGTTACACAGTGTTTATGAAAAGAGCAACATTTTGTTTCTATGGTAACAATTTTTACTTAATAAATTTCGGGTTAAAAAATGGATGTGACATTTATTTTATTTAAAACAAATTTTCTCAACACAAGTCACATCAGACATAAAAATATTTTTATATTCTTTGACTATTTTAGTCGTCCATATTTATTAAAAAAATGCTATAAGCTTGGACATGTCTTAACTAATGAGACTGATGCCCAAATTTGATGTATTCCCATATCATAATAAATTAATTAAGAGGTTTTTAAGTTTTATCTTATTAACCATCAAATTGATCATTTGGTTATTAAAGACAGTAATTAAATTACCATTGCTCTTCTATTCTAATTTTGAGGCAAACCTATTCAAATGAAATTAAATAAATTTGTTAGATTTTTTTACTCTCCTATTTGAGTTGATATTGGGTAACTTATTATGAGGAACTTATAGTAATACTTTAAGATTTGTTTTAAAAGTAGTTTAATTTAATTACTTAAAAAGTAATAAAAAGAAATTTATATGATACACCATATAAATTGTTAGAATTAGTTATCAATCCAGAACATCCAGAATCTTATCTGTACACTTTAATTGATAGATAATTTTATCTCATGCAGTTATACACCAACAAGATTGTGGGGCTTCAGTGGTCATGTACAGACAATACTTCACAGTCTGATTGGCCGAGTGAGGTGCCCCTGGCCAATTGGTGGCAGGATATCACTGGTTCTACCTGACAAGTCCACACTAACATATGATCTCTATGAACCAGTTGGATCTGAACGGGAAGGTAAGCTTGAGATAGTGTGACTAGATATTAAAAAAAACATAGTCATTAGGTCTTATATGGTTGGGATCAAACCCAGAACATGTAGATTATATATCCATTGTTTATCTTGCTAAAACATACTCCTTTTTAATTATAAATTTTAGCACAATATTGTATATTTATTACAATTACTGATTATCTTATCAAAAGGGCATTAAAAGTTATCACTAAGAATATTTAACAAGTTGTATTCTAGAAAATTGTTCTGTATTAACACTCAATTTAACATTTTCCAATTAGTTTAATTTAAAAGTTGAAAATTCTATATTGTATCCCATAAGAATTGATTTGTAATGTCTTTTTTGTTAAAATTATTACATAATATTGTTTATTGTTAATTCAAATTTTATGAATTCAATAGTAACAAATGTACTCCAAAGATTAATTAGTGTTAATTAGCATGAAAACAATGTCACAATAATGCAAATACATCAATTTGTCATGCTGCAAGGTCATGGAATAATTTCAATTTTAAATTTAAGAATAGGTATGATTAATGAAATGAGTAATGTTATGTATCGGTATTGGCTAGATGATGTCATAGCTACAAACTGCCGCCATATTTACTTAATTGTCTCTAATTTTAGTTGCCCACTAATCTTCGATCATTTAAAATACGTAATATGGAATGGATCAAATATGAGATTTGTAACAATCGAAAAGATTACATTGTCGCTAAATTAGTTAATCTACAGCCATAATTAAATCAGTTAAAGGTTAAACTGAAATTTTGCTTATTTAAATTCGTCGTTGGTCCAGATTGACATTTATATGTATTGTTTAGATGACGTCACTGTCGCGATCTGCCCTGGAATCGGCAACACATCTGAAAGTGTCTACATCCGTACCTACGTGCATTACTCGCAATGCCACGGCTACCGCTGCGCCGTGCTCAACCACATCGGCGCCCTCGCCAGTGTACCCGTCACCGGAGCCCGCATATTCTCTTACGGTGACTCATTCTTTACATAAATATAACAATATTCAATCTTTATGCCGGTTCAGTCCATACGATCGCATGTCTGCACAGATGTAGAGAAGTTTTTATATTACATTATGTCGATACCTAAAATTGTTGTAAACAGCGAAATTGCAAACCGCCATTAAGTTTGGATGGCACTATTCGCGTCTGTAGTCGTCACGCGTCAACGACCTTGACTTTAAAACCAATACGATATATGGCTTATTCAACACAATGATGCTAATAAATATGCTTCGCGTATTTTTCTGTATCTCTGATAATGAGATTTATGTAATCCGATAAAGTTTTACCTACATTACAATCACACGGAATCGCATTGTTATGTCGTGTTTACTATCTTTGTCTAATATACGTACGTAATATGCATACATTGTTTGTTGTTATGTCTCGTAATTTAGTGATTATAGATGAAGTTTTAATTTTCTGAAATTACCTATGTGCAACCGTGTGCATTATCACATAATTTTACCAGTGGATTACGGATATATTGTAGTTTTTTTTAAGGATGGTTTAATAATAGGTTATCTACCAGGGGAACATCACAGTGAATTAGTAAAATTTCTGTAACATTACAATATATTTTATGGTATTCAAGGTCGCTGTGGCCGTCTCTCTCATTTAGTCGTTGTCCAATCAATGTCAAGGCGTTCCACTATGTTACGTTCACTCAAATTATGTATTTGTTTCGCAATATATTATTTGTGTTTTTATTATATTTAATGCAAATAGAAAAGCATCTGCAGTGTAGTGTTATTTACACACAGAAAATGGTATTACAAAATATTTTCTTTGAACTTTTTATTGCACTATGTCAATAAAATCTGCGTGCTACTTCTAAAAATAAACAGTTCAGATTTCTAACGGCTTGATAAAATCAATCATGTTATTGTAAACTGTTTTTCAACTTTATAATGTTATAAATAATTTACATACAAATTGTCCACAATTTCTTATTCTTGTATGCAAATTATATATAATATTAATATAAATTTATAACGTGAATGTTATTTTCAGGTCACACAGACGACTTTGGTTACATGGTTGATAATTTAATAGAACGATACCCAAACACCAAATTAATTCTAGTCGGATTCAGTCTAGGAGGTAATTTGATATCGAAGTATTTGGGCGAGGACAGGAAGCGACCTCTTAATATTGTGGGAGGAATCTCAATATGCCAAGGATACAACGCTATTGAGTAAGTGTGAATACTTTGTCTTGTTGTACATCTCTCAGTGAATCTCCATTATCATTACACATGTATTACAATAGTATTGCCTTCTCTTTCATTCAATTTGATAAACAGATGTGTGTTTGGAATTGTGTTGTTGTGGTGAATTACACCTTATAATGCAATATATCCGGTGCAAAATTGTAAAAACATTATAAAGATATGCTAGTAGTCGTAACGTAAGGATATGACTTTATTTCTTATCAAATTACAAACACTATAGCGAGGCCTAGACATCAGACTTGATAGTGGGGCTTACGTAAAAACTGAGCATAAATTGTAGTAATACTTATGCATGTAGCATATTTTCAAAGATATCTTTTGTTAATTCAATTAATTATATGGGTTAAAAGTTTTATTGATGTGTTTACGTCGTATTTCTTCGTCAATATTTTGAGACATTCCTAAAGTTAAGTTATACGATTGCGTTTTAATTTTAAGGACACCAGCACACCAAATAACAGTATGATGAAATTATTATCAATGTCATTTCGATTTCGTCTCAAAGTTCTCGAGAGGTTCAGTTTAGGAATAGTCAGTCATAATTCTTTTACAGTTCACACATGATAAGTCATGATGCTAAGATGTTGGATAAATTCTAAAAGTTCTAAGAGATTGAGTGAACATTGTCAAGCCGTATTCTTTCATGGCCTTTAATAGAACGATAACTTGGATAACATACGTAGTTTGGTATATAAGTAATCGACTTTAGAGTGTAATAGTGAGAACGGTTACATCTGTAGTAGGAATATCACGCGGCAAGAAACGTGTGACAGCTAAATGATGTTCCGATTGTCAATTGGTCCACTTCTGTTATTGGTCGAGTGGACCAACACTGTCACGAGGCATTCCGACTGACATATTTATAGTCAATGTTTTGTAGAATGTAAGGAATTATACGACTCTTTTGAACAGTAAACAAGCATCATGACTCAGTATACCTAAGATTGTAGAATTTATTTTGTATAAATTCAACACACACAACTTAATATTAATGATGTTCGTTTAAAAATATATTAATTCAATGGCCAATAACAATGAATTTGATTTGATATTCAATTGAGTAAATTTGTAAAATATTTAACTGAAAGTTTTTTTTTTGTCTTCAAACCAGTATTAAATAGTTATAGTTTTTTTTTCTCAATGGCCTATTTTGTTATTAATGTTATATCTGGATTTTTTTTAGTTTATTACAATTATTTATCTTGACGACTAGTGGACTTAATTGTCTGTTTGTACGCTGTACGCAGATAACCTAGAGATCAATGTTAATAAACTCATATATATATTATATTATTATTTTTTTATATGTATATTCATAAAGTAGTTTCTTTATAAGCATCCACATTTGTTCTTTATGTATATTTTCCCATAGAAATCAATAACTGTTTTAATAAATAAAATACAGATGTAAAAGTTCTCAGCGTATATCGATTCTAATAGCGCAAGGAGGTTATGTTTTACCTTTTATCCAACGTATATAAAACTACGTCATTTTCGTGAATGTTTATATTATAAGAACAATGCTAATTAAAACACGAATGGATTCATTGTGCAAAAATCAATGAATCGTTGAGAAGAAACGACTGTGTTACGAAATATAAATAATCTATGTGTATACAAAGGCTGGAATAGAATGAGTAAAACTTTTTTTTTTTTGCTTAGTGCAAAGTTACATAGCAACATGGGTTATAAAATCAACTATTGGAGGTCGTTTATCGAGACCGGACAATGACTCGCTTTTATGTTTCTCGCTAATCCGGGTTTGATTGCATATTTAAACTTCCTAACTTATCCAAGACTAGCTGACGCACGCGACTCCGTCTGCGCGGCATTAAAAAAAACTATTAGTCGCAGCGTAATGTTATATAGTCTAAAGCCTTCCTCTATAAATGGACTATCCAACAAAAAAATAATTTTTCAAATCAGACCAGTAGTTTCTGAGATTAGCTCGTTTAAACAAACAAACACTTCCGCTTTATAATATTAGTAAAGATATTTCTCCATATTGATCCCAAAAAAACCTATTGGGATATATAGTCTAGTGATGCAGCTAATATTGTTAATTTTATAATTTGCATTAAGATTAATATTTGTTGCAGCACGATGGTTCATCTTCTGCAATGGCAAAATTTCCGTCGTTTCTACTTGTATATAATGACTGATAACTATCGTAATATTATCACACGACACAAGCGCATCCTGCTCAGCCAAGAGATGAAGACCAGATACTCTTTAGATGAGAATATGATCGTATCCGCAGGTACACTGCCTGACTTAGATGAAGCCTATTCAAGGTTAGTAAAAATATATTTTAGGTTATGTTAAAAAAAAATATTTTAAATGAAAAATTAGATATACCTAATAAATGGATAATATATTCTTACGGTGAAGGAAAACATCGTGATTCAACTTGTACATATCTGCGAATAAATTCAAACATATGTGTAAAATCAACCAACCAGCGTGGTTGACTATGGCATAGTCACCCCCAACTTAGGGTAGGCTTCGAATCCCTCGGTGGGACGTATAGTGAGCTGATGATGATGAACAAATTAATTGAAAATGTTAAATAGACAAAATTATATAGAGATCGATTGTTGGGTTAGGGTTAGGCTGTCATAATCCGTCTATAAATTTTTATATATTCTAGAATTGCTTTAACCTAGCTATGTCATTTTTATTTATTAGTTTATTTAAGCTACATTTTTAAATAGGTATTAATTTTAAATTATTGTTCGATATATTTCACAGGCGTGTGTACGGGTTTGAATCTGTAACGGATTTGTACAAATGGAGTTCCTCAGCATTCTACCTCGACAATATAAAAACCCCAATGGTGTTCATAAACGCGCGAGATGACCCCATTGTTCCTGAACAGCTGTTGCCTGTTGCACGGGAATTTGTTAGTGAGTATTGCCGATATAAATTTATTTAATACTAGCTTTTGCCCGCGACTCCATCAGCACGTGATTAAAAAAACATAATTATTAGCCCATTTGTTCTTCCAGACTATGTCCTACATCTATGCCATGTTTCAACTAGATCCATTCAGCTGTTTATATGGAAAAAGAAGAGGACTGTTTTTAGGGTTTTCCCGGCAATTTTTTCTGACCTTTTAAACCTACCCTACACATCAACGAACATTGCAAGACCAAGATAAGATAAATCTGTTCATCCGTTTTCTAGTTTTAGCGAGACTTTCGACCAGCAATTGATTTTTCTATATATAGAAGATAAATCATAATAAGATATTTTTCCCGTTTAAAAATGTTTCGCAGTTCACTAACTACGGCAGTATATATTTTACGTCATCCTCTAGGCAATTCAAGCAGTTTCTGAGCCTCGTTACCGCAAACAATTATTAATTTCCGTTCACCGATCGCTTGAGCAATTAACCTAAATGCTTAATTTCCCTTTACCGAATGCAACTAAGGTTATCTTTTATTAACTTTAAACTCTTATGTTTATCGTATGATAAAAATAATTGTCCTTTTTTAAATCCACGTAGCTAAAATAAAATATTCTAAAAGATATAATGCTATTTTTCTTTCATCGAACTTGCTAGAAACAAATGTAACCAAGATTCAATAAATAAAAGATTTTTTTGGCATGTTACATTACAAAACTTCTCCTTAAATATAGACTAAAGGCTGTCTGAATATGACATGATTCTATATTTGAGAATTAAATTATATCAATCCTTTTTGTAGGTTCACACGATAAAGCGATGTACTTAGAGCTAGCGCACGGGGGGCACTTAGGATTCTATGAAGGTGGGCTGGTGTACGCAAACCCAGTGACGTGGCTGGACCGCGCCCTCGTCGGCCTTGTGGGGGGTCTCCTCATGGCACATGATAAGTGCGCCCCTAAGGACGCCCCCCTCCTTGATGCTATCCCCGATGAAGACGAGCCGGACTTGATCAAATCCGCAACCATCATCTATCGGGATCCCCTCGACAAAACTCAAAAGGTCTAATTATTTATATTCCTACTTTTAAAGGAGGCCTTTGTTCATGATTAACGGTAGTTTAAAACAGTGATTTTCAAACTTTGTGATAAATTAAATTTTTTGATGCTTCATAACACCCTGTATACTCCATCCAAGAGTTGAAAACCACTGTTTTATACTAACTCTGATTTAAAGGGTGATTTTATGTCGCCAAAAACGGCATAGCCTTGGCGATTTATTATTTTATAGTTGTTTGCTTCATAGCTAGTGTATGTTAGCTGAAACAGTATTCAATGTTCTACAGAATATAGTTTTAGGTTACAAAAAAGGGCATTGTATCGCTCCAACAACTAGAGAGCTTAAAGTATCAAAATTTTTGTTCCTTAGCTGATCTTAAAATGAAGAAATTGTTGGCATTTGACTTAGTTTTTTGTCACCAAAGTGGATTTGCATATTGATAAGCAAGGAGTGTTTAATGAGTTTGATAAATCGCCAATTGTGTTGTTTGTTTTATATGTAGTGGTATAAATATACAGTTAAGTGCCTTCACAAAGGTTATTTTGTAATAAATATATGTTCTATATTTGTCATCTGAATATAAATTGTTATCTCACCTCGTTGACCGAGTTGATATAATTAACAAATATGTATAGGATTTTATACATCATGTTGCAATTTATTTTATACGGCCAATATTTATTTGTGTTCAAAATACTAAACAGTTTGTGATAATTGGCAACACTAAAAATATTCCAATATGCATTTTGATATATATTATTTAATTAGTAATTAAATTAGGTCAAATTGATAAAGATTGTGTTATGATTTGACGCACATTTACGATGAGATTATCTGCACATTATTTTTTATTTGTAAAATGTGATATCCAAATACCAAAATATCATGGCGAGACATGTATTGACACTTTCATAGTTTACATTGTTTTGTTAAAAAAATATATACAAAATTGTGTCAATACGAGTGTCATCGTAGTCGAAACACACACAATAGTCGAGTCTGGATAAGTAGGAGTTCAAGGAACTGCGATTTGTCTCGCGTGTAAAAGTTTCTCGCTTATGGAGTTTGTCCGATGGAACCGGACAACGTATCTCGGTTATAGAGTTTTCTCGCTTATCCAGGTTTGACTGTGTTGATAATATACAAATCAGAAACAGTACAAGAATTCATAGCACAATTAGTTTTGGAAATTATATAGTATTAAAAATTAACATGTAATTACTAATTGATTTATTTATATATTAGAAAAGATATGTTTGATTTGCATTCGATTATATTTAATTTACTACACAGTTTTTATATGTAGTAAACTTGTTATTTTCTTTTTTTTTTACTTATTGATGTAATTTAAATTAACTAATTAGCGAGTCGTGTTGAATGCGAATATTATTATTAATCATATGGATAATTGCAGGAGAAGCGTAAATAATATTTTTATATCGATTAAAATAACATTTCATGTCGGTCAAGCTTAAAACAATACACAGTGGAGTATTGTTTTAAAAACAAATTCCTAGTGACTCGGCACTGTAATATTAGTCACATTCAAATTATTTAAGTATGTTTCTATTACAATTTGTTTTTAAAAACAGCACTGATTGGAGCCTGACATGAATGTCACATTTAAAATATAACTTACCTGTCATGAGGGCGCCACTGTCTCCATTGATATAGCAACACCTACGTCAATATGTCTCATCGAGTACATTTGCATCCTATACCATTCTTTTTTCATTATGTTTAGTAATATTATTATTTTGAATCGCAAGTTACGTAATGAAGCACATTCCAATTAACAAAAAGGTTATCTCATATAAGAAATCTGTTCCTCAATTAGCCTGTTTACTAATTGCTTTTCATTTTGAAGATGGTTATTATCACGGAGAACTTGATTTTTAAATGTTTGGTACATATGAAATAGCTATTAGTTAAATGAATTAAGCCAAATGATTCATTCATTCACTAACCAAGAGAACAGGAGAGGGAGGGCTCGAGATTGTTTCACAAACAAGGACACTGTAGTCCTAATTCATAACATGAATGATTTCATTCGAAGGAATGTTTTACTTTATGTTCAGACTTGTATCGACACATATTGTCGTTTCTCTTTTTTTAAAGGCAATTTAAGAGATGACAGTATGTGTCAAGTGCTACTGCATTCAAAATACATTGTTACAATGAATCTCGAGATTTTTGTACTTGAATAGTTATTTGTAAATCGGCCAGCTTGTTGTTAAGATGTTGGTAACTGCAATGTTTATGACTTACCATGTTCCTTTATCCGTTTCCACTGCCAAAACATTCACACAATATAATATTGTGTTTAGAGAATGAGAGATACGCATTGAAATATTTTTAAATCTACTTATTACCTATTATTTTATAACATTTCTTGTGTGAAAGTATGTTATTGTTTTGTTTTATCGCTACAACTATCATATTTTGTTTGCATAAATAATGTGTACAGTTCATACTATTAATCAGTTTTTTTGTGTTACTTATGATATGGTACTTATGAAACAAGCAGACCAAATTTGATCTCAAGTAGCAATAGCTATAGATCATATAAATGTTACGTAATTGGTATTCTTTGTGGACGTTTACATTGATTTGTGTACAAAGTTGTTTGTAGCTGTGTTTCCACTGCCGAAAGATTTGTACAAAAACATTGACTGTTTATTTGAAAAACACTGTGAGGTTTGTTATATGTTTATATACAACTTTTTTGATAGTGGGAACGCATCAATTCGTTTGTCTTGTGTGAATCAATTATATGTTTGAAATTTATTTATTTAACTTTTGCATTGTAAATCTGTTGTATTATTTATTACTTTCACATATGTTAAGCATTTTTTTTAACTTTAAACTATTTTGTATATGGCAATTGATTAAGGTGTTTGAAACCAGCATTTAATAAGTATGCAATACATACTAATATCGTCTTTGCAATACAAATTAAATAATTTTTTCTAAGTATGTAATTTTTTTTTGTATCACTTGACTCTGCATTAAAATATCAATTATGTATTTGACACTTCAAAATGTTTAGACATCAATGTAGTAACAAAATAACTTTGTTATATGTTAGTCAATTGCTTTCCATCTTGTCATCTCATTTCGTTTGCGCTCAAACTTTTCGGTCGTGCTATGTGTCGGCAACTATGCACCAATGCAATGTCCATAACATTATTTGCCGAAATAGCTGTTCAAAAACTGTGTCATCATTCTTAGTATATTTGTTCATTAACAGTGTTTTGTTAGTGGAAATTGCGGTGATATAAACGCGTAAAAGTGTTTAAGATTGCTTGTAAAATGGATATTAATTTCATGTTGAATAAATGTTGCAACAAATAATAACAGCCTTTTGTTTACCCATTCATATTCAAATTAATTATTACAAAAGATTGATAAATAAGTATATTTCTAAATTTAATAATATAAAATTTTAAGAGACGGGTGAATTTACGCGGACTTAATATCTAAAAGATATACATCTAGTCTTAAACTATTTTGTAGATGGAATATTATAATGACATCTGCATCAGGTTTGGAAATACAATTTTTTATATATTTTAATCAGAGAGGTAATGATAAGAATGGATTGCGGTATAACATAACACACAAATGGATGTCTGTATTTGTAAATATTAATTATTAAATATGGAAATTTGAAATATTATTGTTTCCTCTCTTTATTACACAATGTTGAGCAATAAAAAAAAACATGAGATCAAAATAATTTAAACTTACGAAATACAATATAGAGATTCAAGTGAGTATTCTATTACATCAATGTTTTGTGACATTAAGCGAGAATCTTAGGATCAAAGTAATTTTCTTATAATAATCATCATGGTGATAAATATTGAAAGTGCACTAAAAACATTTATATTTATACAATTTACATTTTCATGAACGGACTATTACTATTTATGAACATTTTCAGTAAAAAATATGCATTAATATGAATTCATAAAACGTTATGAATATTCCAAATACAAATATCACAACATTTTCCTTAAAATAAAACTTAGTTCTCTTTACATGTACTTATTTATTATTATAATTACACATAAATCATTAAGTATGTATGTATGGATGCAATACATGTGAATAATTTACATTATAACTAAGTTCAGTGCCAAATTTATATATAATTTAGGGATATAATATTTATTAAAGAAATCATCAATGGTACTTATTTTAATCAATAAACAATTTTAATATGGCGTAAGTAATAAAATATGGCCACTGGGAGAGGTATTAAAAATCAGAACAAAAACTTATATACATAAAATCAGATCGACATTTTTATGAAATAGCTTAACAGTGTATAGTTGACGGCCAAGTTGCAATAAAAATATTGTTCATTAACTAAAAGCGTTTATAATGTTTCAATGTCATATATTTGCTCATGAATAACCTTAAAATACAAAATCACTTATAAACTAATTACCAAAATTAGATTAAAAAATGTGACCACAGAAAATAAAAATCTTACATCTGCTATCAACTTTGCTTAGAATTATGGAACTCATATTTTACAGTCTTTTTACATGTCTGTTTTAAAATCTGAGTATTTCAGAATAAATTAAAGCTTTTCTTTTTACAAAATATGTATTGTATAAATAAATTAGGTAAATGCAATCAAATCGTAAGTAACATTATCATATAGTCAGCATATGGAGGCCGGGTCGCCTTCCATAGTGCAAGCTATATTGTCTAATTTATGAGCTAAGTGCATTTTATTTTCTAACCCTAGCATAATTTGTTCTCTGTATTTACTGACATAGATGTACAATTCTTTGAGAGCTGAAAGTGTATCAAACTCATTCAGTTGTTCCACTGAAAGCTGTTGCATCGACGTGCTTAGCTCTTGGTCTGACACTTGGGGTAACTGGGATACAGCTTGATAAAATTGAATCACCATATCTCTGTATGTGGGGAGGTCTTTTGCAAAAAGTAGTTTATTGGACGGGGAGTCTTTGCAAAGCCGGTGTTCGGTTAATGAACATGCGTCCATAAATGTTTGAGCGATCACAGAAAGAGAGGAATCGACAGTTGCTGTTTTGTTTATATCAAATATGAAATCTGGATTTTTGATCAGATTTACCCAGAAACGCAACGGTAAGCTGTTTGACTTCCAAGCATGTACGACTTCCGGGTTGATAATACCATGTGCTCTTGCGGCATCATCAAACAGATCGAATAGCCATTTCACTGCTGGAGGTAATACTTCGTTTACCGTAAGTATTGTACCAAAGAAGTCATCAACAAATTTATGTACTGTTCCCTTTGTCGATAGTAGTCTAGTAAGAAATATTTCTGGAATAGCTTTGTGACTGTGCTCTGATGATTTGTTTATAATGTGTTGATACTCAATGGGTTTCACTAAATGATAAAAATGAACATTTTGATCTGTTATGTCGCTGTTGTAAACTCTTATATGAGAATTAGAGCAATATATGCCTGTACAATTTTTACATGGTATTTTATATGGGGTATTGAAGCTGTCATTCTGCCGCGGAATCAAAGACATGATAGCAGACTCTTTTACTCCGTAATGAGCCAAAGTATTTAATTTTCGCCAACCATTTAACGTTTTCGTCGTGACATCCTCGTCCTGAAGAGTAACGTGGCCACCTCTACCATGCCGCCATTCTAAATCAACTTCGTGGACGGAGGGCCGCATGGAAAATGGAGTGTTTTTAAATAGAGAATCTAATATTTTTGACTTTACTTGAGATATACTATCACAATCTAAAACTTTACATTGAATTTTATCATCAAAATCGTCTTGGATTACATGCAATGTTACCATTTGATAATCGATCTGCTCTTTCAAAAGTTTTTCTTCAGATAGTGAATACCGTGCTTCGTGCGTTATGGCATCCACAACCCCTTTTTCGATTTGATGTTTAATAGCTTTAAAAAGTAGGAATAAAGAGGAGCCTGCATAATCTTTTAGATAATAATACATGCATAAAGCCATCCAGTTTGTCAACATTTTCTCCACAACACTCTCTGTTCTTCGCAACATTAGTTGGGGATGTTTGTTACAGACTGATTTTTCAATTAATCGCAGAAGCAAAGATTTAAGGATATCAGTGGCATATTCCATTTTCCCCATCAAAATGATCATAAGAAGAGAAGCTACATTGACTTTGTCTCGTATGTTAAATGACTTTTGAGTCTCCAATGTGTCTATAAATGACAGAAGGAAACATTTATTATTCAGCAGTTGCTCGAATTGAAT